AGAAAGTCAGTATACTTATGAATATCCAAGACACTGGGTAGAGTATGTAGGAGGTGAGAAAGCTATTGAAATCAGACAGGTTCGAAGTATTCCAGCAGGAAGAACAATATTATTGAAGAACTTTAATGTTTTTGAGGTATAATGATGAAACAAAGAAGCAAGATAGTTTTCCTGTTGCTGTGTATGTGAACTTAGATACAGGAGATGACATGAAAGTTTTTAACACAAAGCTTCAAATGGTATTGAAAGAACAACTTATAGCAGAAGGACACCCATTACCTTCAGAAGTTACCATAGCATATAATTTTGAAACAAATGCAATAGATTTTAAAGTCATCTCTGCAAAGAAGTCAGGTTTTACATTTAATGAAGCAGATGTATATTCGAATGAAAACTTCAAAGCTATTGCATGGTTAGATAATGACGATTGCTTTAAGAAAATATTTAAATACAGTGACTCAACGATGTCAATAGATGACTTCGTGGAATGTTACCATCGACGTTTACAGTAGAAGGTTCAGCAGGATTGCTTACAAGATTGTCAATTGGTGGTATTTGGTCTCGTGAGAACATTGTTATAAAATCCAGTATAAGTGAATTTGCTGAAGAATCTATATTATGTCTTTCAAACTACATGTATTCGCCGCCGAAGCATTATAGTATAACAAACTTTGTCAGTAAGTTTAACATAAGACTTGTCGAACCTTCTTCAATGAAAGATGTTGTGCTACCTAAAGATGGAAAGGATGGACTCATTATTGAAATGATTTTAATAGCATATTAAATGAGTTTGTTTTTGAAGGTCATTCATGATGAAATAACTGTTGTAGAAGATGTTAGCAATTGTTCAGACATTTTGAAGCGTATAGATGAGATAAGAAAGAAGTTAGATAGACCGCAAAGCGGTGAGGGCGAAGCCCGTGAGAACGCTTATGTTTCATTGACTTTCTCCAGTAACGAGAACTTTTATGAGATAATATTGAAGAGAGATGATTTTAATATGGTGTAAATGGTAGCTTGGGCAGCTTTAGGCGCAATGGGAACAAAAGCATTAGCATTTGGAGCAAAAGCACTTGGAGCTTATGACGCAGTAAATAAAATGAGTGGAGGTAGGGTTTCGAAGACATTAGATGCAAATAAAGGGAAGATTGGAGGCTGGGTTGCAAAGAAATTAAGATTAAATAAAATAGGGCTCATAAATAAAGCATCCAATTTGGTTGCGACTGAGTCAGAAAATGCTTTAGGAAAGGACGATGAGTTTGCAAAACACGCAAAAGACTTTAATGACCAGATGAAAGGTGAAACAATGCATTTAAATAGATTCGATGGAACTAAAGAAAATGTTTCTTCTCCACCAGTGGTTTATCCATACGGACCTTATGGAATGTATGGAAACCCTTATGAACGACCATTTGACCCATTGACTGGTGGAAGTAACTGGTATCATTATGGACGAAGAAGAAAGACAGTCAAGTTGGAGACGGACGTAAAGAAAGCAACTAAAAAGAAACCAAGGAAGAGAGTTATAAAGCAATGAATTCAACAGGGTAAAAAAAGAGGTGAAAAAAGAGGTGAGATCTCACCACTTCACCTAAATATATTTTTGTGCTATGTTTTCATACGTGTGGGAGTGGTGATATCATTAATTTTTAAGTTTATTTTTTTATTTTATTTTTATATAAATGATGAAAACTATTGAGATAACAAACTACAACGGTCATGAGTTCAAGAATTTGTTCTTCGTTCCTCGTGAAAATACATTCTATCAGATACGAGGGAGAAAGGGTAAAGTTAGTTTGAGCGTTTATGACAACAAACATAATGGGAGATATATAAAAGCAATAGATACAAACGGTAAGCGTGTTTCATTAGCTTTGTCAAAACTTACATACATTTATTTTGACAGTGACTTTGACCTATATGAAGAAGAAAGTGAGTCAGAAGATTATGAGCTGTTATGTGAAGCACAGCAATGGGAGGAGTTGCAATACTTTTGTAAGTGAGAACGTTTATTTTTTCATTAGTGAGGTGAAGTGGTTGACGGCTTTGTAAATATTTAAGGTTAAGTTAGTGTTGTCGTTTGTGTTGTAAAATATACGTTAACGGTTTTGTAAAGTGTCAAATTCACATATAATGGGTACGGTGGAACGCAGTGCCTCTGTACCCTTGATATGTATACTAACTTTCTGTACAGTTTGTATAATAGGTTGTGCTTTCTCTTTAAGTATACCTAATGTACTCAAAATCTTCCTTCCAACTCCAAATACACCTCTGGCTATTGTTCCCACTGCGGGTAAAAATCTAGATGCGACTCCTGCTAATGCGCCAAATAAACCCATTTCTTATGGGTTAAAAAATGACGAATCCAAACAAGGACCCCTATGTTTCTAAAGCGACAAAGAAAGCACTCATGATAAAAATCTTTAGTTCAACACCAAATGCTTGGTTTATGGATATCTTGGAAAACATTCCGAGAGTTAGAACAGATGGACCTCCATACTGGTTAATATTTGTTGGTCAAAACACAAGATACTGTGAAGCCATACCATTATGGTCCAAAAATATTTTAGATGTGAAAACTGCTTTGACAATATTCGTTGACAAATACCATCCAACAAAACTAACATCTGACTGTGAAAGTTCTTTCAAATCAGATGATATTAAAAACTATCTGCGTTCAAAAAATGTAAACCAATATTTCATTGTCGACCAAAACCATTCTGCTCTTGGTGTCATTGACGGATGTATAAAAATGTTAAGAGACTTAAACCAACCACAAGGTGGTGAAGCAAATGAAATGTCATATGACGACAAGTATAGACACTTCTCCCAGGCAAAGATGAGACAAGTTTTAAATATTTACAATAACCGTAAACAAAAAGGTTTGGGAAACCACTCCCCGAAGAAATGAAAAACAACCCTGACTTAGAGAAAGACTATATATTTAATAATTTAGTCAAAAGAGACAAACAAGAAAGAATGCCGGGCTTCAAACTTCAGAAAGGTGACAAAGTAAAAATAGAAATACCTAAACGCGATCCATATGAAAATACTATTGACTATGACAACAATGGGAACTCGACAGGTACTCACATTCGTGTTCGTAAAAATAGAAGAAAGTATACAAGAGAATATTATGAAGTTTTAGGCAAACATGGCAAAATGTACACACTGCAAGCAGAAGATAAAACTACTATTGTCAGACCTTGTTTCAAACTTGTCAAAGTTCAAGGTGGTATACTTTCAAAGACAGTTCCTAACAAATATAAGACAACTCCTGACGAATATGCTAAAGAAGTTGAAAATGACGACTAAGCAATTCTATACCATGCGTAAACTGTCATGTAAGGTGGCATGTATTCTTTACTTTGTCCCGTTGTTTGCGTATATCCTGAAACGAAATGTGTATGGTTTCCTTCTCCCTGAGTGTCATCCCAGTAACAATTTATAGCAAACTTAACGTCGTCTTTAACATCATATCCTTTACCTTTTGTCATTCCTGACCAATCCCAATATCTATGCTTATGCCAACCTGCTTGAGATGTACTTAAATCTATGTAGTGACTGTGTGCAGGTAAATTTTCACCTGAAATCGTTTTACTTCCACCTGTTTCCTTTGAAGAGTTTGCACAATACAAAAACCTGTCGACTATTTGTTCCCATGCACCAACACCAAACATTACTTGAGGACCTCTTGCTTCCATAGATGTATAAATAGAACCTACTGGGTTCATTAAATCAAACATATGAGACATTATAGGATTGTCTCTTTTGAACTTAAAATATAGTGCAACTATTTCAGGTTTCTTCTGGTTTGTGTCAGAATATTTTTTATAATATAATCTTATGTTTTCAGGGTAGGTACAGTCTTGACTATAATATTTATTTCTGTCATCTGTATAATAATATACTATTCTCGTTTTTTCTATTGCATTATATCTTTTATATCTATAATAATCTAAATATAATGTTAGCTTTTGTTCATCTACATGTGGTGTTCTGTCGTCATCTCCATAGTCATAATAATGTGGTGCCGGAGCTGGGTCAGGTAATATCATATCCACCATTTCATAAACTCTTAAATATTTCTTTTGTTCGTCTCCATATAAGTTTAGGTAGCAGTTGTTGTCTAATGGAACTTTAACTTCTGTACCATCATTCTTTTTATAGCTTACATACATTTCATTGTTATTTTTCGGAATGAGTTTATACCGTGTACCATTTTCTAAGGACTGTACCAACTGCCATCTAAAATATTTATTTTCTTCATTGACAGAAAAGTCACCAACAATAGTTTCAATATTTTTTGTTCCTATCAAACTTTGGTATATTTCATTGACATATGTTTTATCTGCTTTATTTTCAAGGCTAACGTTTAAGTCTGTTATTTCAGAAGATGTATGTGTATGTCCAACGTCACTTTTCCTGTTTAAGGTTTCTTGTAAGTTTGTAATATTTGCAATGGTATGTGTATGAGTCTTATTTGCTTTTGTCTCTAATGTTTCCTTAAGACTTGGTATTTGGTTAATATAATGTATATGAGTCTTTTTAGAATATTCGTTTTCAGCTCTTGTCACTTCACTTGACATTTTATTGTCAACATATGTTTTGTCTGCTAGTTCAGGATGAGTATGTTCTTTTGTTGCATAAGCATTGTTAGCTCTTTCTTCTTCTTTTGCTATTGCATCGTCTACATATTCTTTGTCAGCTTTGTTGTCAACATCTGTTTTCAAAAGAAGTTCATTTATAGGTTTCTCGTTTAAAGTTCCTTTTGTTGGATTTATACAGACAGTATGGTTCTTATTGTCTTGAAACAGAAACTCATCTGTCATTGGGTTTATTGTCAGTTTTAAGTTTCCTTCTTTCAATGACTCAGATATCTTAGAATAGTTTGAAAAGTTTGTTGTGTTCTTATTTAGAGCTTGCATAATGAGTTGTCGGTTGTGTTGTATTTCTCTCATAGACGCTGTTTCATTTGACATTTTTATTATAGATAAAATATGCTTCCAATAGAAAAAGAAAATTCTAGAGTTGCTACAACTAAACCATTAGATGAACTTTTTACTAATGTCGGTCAAAAGTTTGACTTAGATACCGTAAAGCATGAAGGCTATCGTTTTGACTACCCATTAAGATGGTTAAGAGACCCATCTGTCACAAAAGCTATTGGCTTTCGAAGAATAAAGTTCATTTCAGAAGCCATACATGGTTTCCCATTTACGGTCGGTTTTGAAGTTCTGTAATGCATGAAAAATAGCGTGACTTCATTTTTGACAGTTTACAAATGTAAAGTGTTGCATCCTTAAAAACTTGGAAATATATACATTCATGAATTATCTTGTATATTAATTGAAAATCCATAAAACCCTAACAATATTTTTTCTTAAAAAAAATATAAAAATATAAATAAAATTAATCGTTAAATAAAAATATTTGATATTAGAATTTTATTGGAAAAATAAAAAACTTAATATTTTAAAGAAATACTTAAATACTTGAATGTTTTAACTTTTACATTATCATATAGACTCTCAAATTATTGATTGGAAACAGTTTGAGGGTTATCAATTTAAAAAAATTGTGAGTTTTTTAGATTTTTGGCAATGTGTTTTAAAAATTTGTGAGTGAAAATGTGTGTTGATGCTTGGCACTTTGAAGGGAAGATGTTCTGGGTTCAAAATTATTAATGAAATAAATAAAATGATTATAAATATAATATATTAGAAAATAATTTGCAAAATCTCTCCATTTTTATAAATTTAATAATAGAAGTTGATCTATATAGAAAGAGCGTTTTATCTATTAAGTTTTTGGCTTTTGCCTTCAAATCATTAATATAATTTTTTCAAAAAAAATTGTTTTATTTAAAATAAACAAATTTTATCAAATAACTAGTATTTTTAAATTATCTTTTGAAAAATTGAAAAATTTACAAATTAAAAAATGGAAGACATCTTGGTTCGTCTCGAAAACCCAGAAGATCTTAAAACTTTTCAACTCCCAACCGTTCCCGCCGATCAGGTTCTCAACGTAATTGAAGAAAAATATCAAGAATACATTAATAATCCAAATGTAACTCTCGAAGATACGGCAAAAACACTTTCAATAGGAAAAGAACGTTTGAAAAAAATTTTCGTACTACTCGGCTATCCAATAAAAGAAAGAGGAAGACCAAAGAAAAAAATTTTTGAGGAAGATGTATACAAAATTTTGGAAATTAAAGCACAATATGACATTGGATACAAAAGGATCAAAGAATCATATTTCGAAAAAGTCGAAAGATTTACATTCAACGATGCTTTCAAAATTTTCAATCAACAACATTTGTTTACATTTCACAGGCATCAGAAAATCGACGAACATCCACATGAATACGTTGCTCAATATGTTAATCAATTGTGGCATACTGATTTGAAATTTCTGAAGGACGATAACGGTAACCTTCAATATTTAATTTCATTTCTTGATGACAGAAGCAGATACATTATTTGCTGGGATGTTTTCGATACAAAAGAAATGAAAAATACTGCCAGAGTATTTCGTCACGCAATTGATTTAGTCAAATTAGTTCCACATGGAATTCTCACAGATAATGGAACAGAATTCATTGGAAAAGATTTTGAAGCGGTTTGCCAAGAATTCAATATAAAACATTTCAAAACTCATCCGTACTCTCCAGAGGAAAATGGAAAAATTGAAAGGAGTTGGGAGACTCTTTTCAAGACAAACCCTGGAGTGAACGTCTTTGAGTTCATCCCCAATGTTGTTTCCCAGTATAATAGGGTATGGAAACACTCCGCATTATTCAAACTCTTTGGGGAGAAATTGACTCCATTTGAGGCCTGGGAAAGAGGCCCCAAATGGACAAAAGATCTCTGCGCTGAACCAGGCTTCGAAAAAAATCTTAGAGATTAACAAATAATTTCAAAAACAAGAAAATTCAAAAAATCACAAAAAGGAAGTTAAGGAATAAACACTTACATTTATTACATTTGGATTTTTTTAAATTCAGTATTATTTTTAGAAATAAGATAATATAGTTCTAAATAAAACAAAGAATGTTAAGAATGAAGAAGGAATTAGCGGATGCAGCCGAAGCACGCTCACAAATTACTCTCAATATCCACTCAAATCATACAAAGTTTTGTCGAATAGTTTGATATAAAGACAAAAAATTTACAATTTTTAATTAAATCCGAACAATCTTACATATGCAGCTGAAGCACACTCACAAATTACTCTCAATATCCACTCAAATCATACAAAGTTTTGTCGAATAGTTTGATATAAAGACAAAAAATTTACAATTTTTAATTAAATCCGAACAATCTTACATATGCAGCTGAAGCACACTCACAAATTACTCTCAATATCCACTCAAATCATACAAAGTTTTGTCGAATAGTTTGATATAAAGACAAAAAATTTACAATTTTTAATTAAATCCGAACAATCTTACATATGCAGCTGAAGCACACTCACAAATTACTCTCAATATCCACTCAAATCATACAAAGTTTTGTCGAATAGTTTGATATAAAGACAAAAAATTTACAATTTTTAATTAAATCCGAACAATCTTACATATGCAGCTGAAGCACACTCACAAATTACTCTCAATATCCACTCAAATCATACAAAGTTTTGTCGAATAGTTTGATATAAAGACAAAAAATTTACAATTTTTAATTAAATCCGAACAATCTTACATATGCAGCTGAAGCACACTCACAAATTACTCTCAATATCCACTCAAATCATACAAAGTTTTGTCGAATAGTTTGATATAAAGACAAAAAATTTACAATTTTTAATTAAATCCGAACAATCTTACATATGCAGCTGAAGCACACTCACAAATTACTCTCAATATCCACTCAAATCATACAAAGTTTTGTCGAATAGTTTGATATAAAGACAAAAAATTTACAATTTTTAATTAAATCCGAACAATCTTACATATGCAGCTGAAGCACACTCACAAATTACTCTCAATATCCACTCAAATCATACAAAGTTTTGTCGAATAGTTTGATATAAAGACAAAAAATTTACAATTTTTAATTAAATCCGAACAATCTTACATATGCAGCTGAAGCACACTCACAAATTACTCTCAATATCCACTCAAATCATACAAAGTTTTGTCGAATAGTTTGATATAAAGACAAAAAATTTACAATTTTTAATTAAATCCGAACAATCTTACATATGCAGCTGAAGCACACTCACAAATTACTCTCAATATCCACTCAAATCATACAAAGTTTTGTCGAATAGTTTGATATAAAGACAAAAAATTTACAATTTTTAATTAAATCCGAACAATCTTACATATGCAGCTGAAGCACACTCACAAATTACTCTCAATATCCACTCAAATCATACAAAGTTTTGTCGAATAGTTTGATATAAAGACAAAAAATTTACAATTTTTAATTAAATCCGAACAATCTTACATATGCAGCTGAAGCACACTCACAAATTACTCTCAATATCCACTCAAATCATACAAAGTTTTGTCGAATAGTTTGATATAAAGACAAAAAATTTACAATTTTTAATTAAATCCGAACAATCTTACATATGCAGCTGAAGCACACTCACAAATTACTCTCAATATCCACTCAAATCATACAAAGTTTTGTCGAATAGTTTGATATAAAGACAAAAAATTTACAATTTTTAATTAAATCCGAACAATCTTACATATGCAGCTGAAGCACACTCACAAATTACTCTCAATATCCACTCAAATCATACAAAGTTTTGTCGAATAGTTTGATATAAAGACAAAAAATTTACAATTTTTAATTAAATCCGAACAATCTTACATATGCAGCTGAAGCACACTCACAAATTACTCTCAATATCCACTCAAATCATACAAAGTTTTGTCGAATAGTTTGATATAAAGACAAAAAATTTACAATTTTTAATTAAATCCGAACAATCTTACATATGCAGCTGAAGCACACTCACAAATTACTCTCAATATCCACTCAAATCATACAAAGTTTTGTCGAATAGTTTGATATAAAGACAAAAAATTTACAATTTTTAATTAAATCCGAACAATCTTACATATGCAGCTGAAGCACACTCACAAATTACTCTCAATATCCACTCAAATCATACAAAGTTTTGTCGAATAGTTTGATATAAAGACAAAAAATTTACAATTTTTAATTAAATCCGAACAATCTTACATATGCAGCTGAAGCACACTCACAAATTACTCTCAATATCCACTCAAATCATACAAAGTTTTGTCGAATAGTTTGATATAAAGACAAAAAATTTACAATTTTTAATTAAATCCGAACAATCTTACATATGCAGCTGAAGCACACTCACAAATTACTCTCAATATCCACTCAAATCATACAAAGTTTTGTCGAATAGTTTGATATAAAGACAAAAAATTTACAATTTTTAATTAAATCCGAACAATCTTACATATGCAGCTGAAGCACACTCACAAATTACTCTCAATATCCACTCAAATCATACAAAGTTTTGTCGAATAGTTTGATATAAAGACAAAAAATTTACAATTTTTAATTAAATCCGAACAATCTTACATATGCAGCTGAAGCACACTCACAAATTACTCTCAATATCCACTCAAATCATACAAAGTTTTGTCGAATAGTTTGATATAAAGACAAAAAATTTACAATTTTTAATTAAATCCGAACAATCTTACATATGCAGCTGAAGCACACTCACAAATTACTCTCAATATCCACTCAAATCATACAAAGTTTTGTCGAATAGTTTGATATAAAGACAAAAAATTTACAATTTTTAATTAAATCCGAACAATCTTACATATGCAGCTGAAGCACACTCACAAATTACTCTCAATATCCACTCAAATCATACAAAGTTTTGTCGAATAGTTTGATATAAAGACAAAAAATTTACAATTTTTAATTAAATCCGAACAATCTTACATATGCAGCTGAAGCACACTCACAAATTACTCTCAATATCCACTCAAATCATACAAAGTTTTGTCGAATAGTTTGATATAAAGACAAAAAATTTACAATTTTTAATTAAATCCGAACAATCTTACATATGCAGCTGAAGCACACTCACAAATTACTCTCAATATCCACTCAAATCATACAAAGTTTTGTCGAATAGTTTGATATAAAGACAAAAAATTTACAATTTTTAATTAAATCCGAACAATCTTACATATGCAGCTGAAGCACACTCACAAATTACTCTC